AAGCAGGAGCAACTTCTTCCTGAATGTATTTCCTCGAGCAAGGGAAACAAAAGCAAAATGAACTCATGGGACTACATCAAACTAAAAAGTTTCTGTACAGCAAAGGACACCAACAGCAGAACAAAAAGGCATCCTACAGTATGGGAGAATATATTTGTAAATGACAGATCCGACAAGGGGTTAACATCCAAAATATATAAAGAACTCACATGCCTCAACACCCAAAAAGCAAATAACCCAATTAACAAATGGGCAGAGGATATGAAGAGACGGTTCTCCAGAGAAGAAATTCAGATGGCCAACAGATACTGAAAAGATGCTAATCTTTCATGCATATCACTAATCATCAGGGAAACGCAAATTAAAACCACAATGAGATATCACCTCACACCAGTAAGGATGGTCAGCATCGAAAAGACTAAGAACAACAAATGCTGGCGATGATGCGGAGAAAGGGGAACCCTGCTACACTGCTGGTGGAATGTAAGCTAGTTCAACCATTGTGGAAAGCAATATGGAGGTTCCTCAAAGAACTAAAAATATAAATACCATTTGACCCGGGAATCCCACTCATTGGAATTTACCCAAAGAATACAACTTCTCAGATTCAAAAAGACATATGCACCCCTATGTTTATCGCAGCACTTTTCACAACAGCCAAGATACGGAAGCAACCTAAGTGTCCATCAGTAGATGAATGGATAAAGATGTGGTACATGTACACAATGGAATATTATTCAGCCATAAGAAAGAAACAAATCCTACCATTTGCAACAACATGGATGGAGCTGGAGGACATTATGTTCAGTGAAATAAGCCAGGCGGAGAAAGACAAATGCCAAATGATTTTCCTCATTTTGTGGCATGTAACAATGAAGCAAAACTGAAGGAACAAAATGGCAGCAAACTCAGAGACTCCAAGAATGAACTAGTGGTTAGCAGAGGGGAGAGGTGGGGGAGGGCGGGTGGGGAGGGAGGGAGAAGGGGATGGAGGGGTATTATGTTTAGTACGCATGGTGTGGGGGATCACGGGGAGAACAGTGTAGCACAGAGAAGGCACATAGTGGATCTGTGGCATCTTGCGGCACTGATGGACAGTGACTGCAATGGGGTGTGGGTGGGGACTTGATAATATGGGTGAATGTAACCACAACGTTAATCATGTGAAAACTTCATAAAAGCATGTATCAATGACACCTTCATAAAAATGTACACAAGTTGTCAATCATAATTTTAACCTGCAAAATGATATCAAATTTACAATAAAATAGTTTGAAAAAGATAGTAAAATTCCACAACAAAGGCAAAGAAAAGCAAAAATTGCTACAAGCAAAGCATATTCTCACAGTCCATTAAGAAGTTCAAGGACAAAATGACAAAGCCCACCCAGCAAAGGGAAAGGCCTTTCTGAAACAATGTCTCCCACTCCTAAGCAGCCCTATGGTTTGAGGAATCTCCAGTAAGCGTTTTCACCTATTTGTAGCCGGTTTCCTCACAGGCATCAAGTATTACCAATAATGAGATAGTTTAATGTTTAAATTCGTTCCTAAGAACTGCGCCAATTCTTATGTGACTGATTTCAATTAACAGATACGCTTTTCACGTAAACTTCCATCACGTAGTCGATGACTTCCAGATTTTTTCACCAGGAAACCTACAGTAAGAAACTGCCCTCCAAGGACGGGAAACCTTGGTGGGCTCACCTCAAGTAACAGCTTCTGTCCAAGCTGTGTTCACAGAGCGACCGTCTGGAAGCTCGGGGTAACCCCTCCCCCTTCTCAGGTAAGGCTGAGTGTGGCCGAGCAGCAGCCCCACAGGCAAGATTTAAACAGAAGCGCCTGCAGCCAATCAGCCCGTGATCCCCAAGGAAAAGAGCAGCTCGATTTCTGGAGCTGAAGCACTGCCCCAGAATTAAGAAAAACCACATATGGTGCAATAAGTTTCCAGAGAGCTTCCGCTAGTAACAAAACCTCGAACGTGGAGGAGACGCCCCGCCCAGTGCGCTCCCCAAGATTCAAGACAGCATGTCTCCAAACGAAACATCAAATGTTGGAGTGAAGACCACCTAGTGTGTGGTCTGAGGGAGAAAAAGGAAAGAAAGCGGTGAACCGGGAGGACTCGGGGCCCATTTCATTTCCAGCCCGCTCTGTCTAACCACCTGCTCAGGACGCTGCCGGTCGGACCCAGGCCTGGAGGCGCATCCTCCGAGAATCCCTCACCGCCAAGCCCAGGCAGATGCCGGGGAACCAGATCACCCCTGACAAACGGTCGTCGAAAATGTGTCACCCGCTCCACCAGCCACTGGAACCACCCGTCCTCACTGAAGCGAGGGCCGAGTTGGGCTTCCCACAGCAGCTTGTCCCCGGGACCCCAGGTTCGCGCTCACACCCCGGGGCGGCCCTCCAGCCTGGGGGCCGCCGCCCCAGCCCGGCCGCCCCGCCGGCTCACCTCCAGGCGCAGGGAGGCCCCGCAGCCTCGCAGGAACTCGCGGATGTTGCTCAGGCACTCGCTCTCGCTCCGGGGCTCCGGATAGACCTGCAACACAGAGCGCCCGCGGTGAGCGGCGGCCCCGGGCGCCAGGACCCCGGCGGGCGGCCCCGGCGGCGCGGGGCGCCCACGGCATCCCCAGGGCCCTCCCGCGCGGCGGCCGCCTCGCCTCACCCTTTCTCCTTCCTCCGAGCTGCACCAATCTCCGGCCCCCTTCCCTCCCCGGGAGGGGGCCGGCGCCGGAAGTGACGTCTTCAGAACGCGCCCCGGCCACCCCCGCGCGACCTCTTCCGGCCCTTGGTCTCGCCCCGTGGCGCGCGGCCTCCAACCCAACGCCAGCGCCTGTCCTCGCCTCTGCAGACTCGACGCGCCTGGCCCGGTCCACGCGCGGCCCCCGAAGACCCCCACCTGATCCTCCCCCTACAGGTCCACGCGCGGCCTCCAGCTTAACCGTCTGATCCTCGCCTCCACGGACTCAGCGCAGCCGACCCCACGCCCCGCCTTCTCCACCACCTGGCCCTGCCCCCTCGGCCACAGCCCACCTGGCCCGGCCCACGTGGAGCCCGAGCTCCAGCACCTGACCCTCCCGGAGCAGCCAGCCCACCTGGCCCCACCAGGCCCCCTCCTCGGGGCTGGCCCTTGGCCTCGCCCCACCGCGGCCACAGCCCTCCCGGCCTCTCAGAGCCCTGGGAAAGCTCGCCTTGGCTTGAACAACCCCAAAGCAGCAGGAGAAAACCGGGTGTTTCTTCACTTCTTCCCCACCCCTGGCCTGGGGAAAGTGGAGCTAGTATTCTAATAAGATGATTTCACATAATTAGCAACATAAATTATGCATGTTGGGATTAAAGCTGCAGTGTCTTCTCTTTCCAAATTAAGATTTGTGCTTCCTGAATGATTAACCAACACAGCCGGTACACATAAGCGAATGAGGCAGCCGGGGAGAAACTGCGCCATGCGCAGCGGCGGGGCAGCCAGGGCTCATACAGACAGCCTGGGCTTCCGCGCTGTGTGTAAGGGGTTACTGACAGCCCCGCGGGGCAAGAAACGTCAAGGAACACCCGGAACAGTACCAGTCACACAAAACCCCCAAGGGAAAAAGCCTGAGACAGAAGAGCTGCTTGTTGTTCTGAATTGCACATCAACACTGAGTTCCGGTAGTTACACCAAAGCATCGTCCAGAATTCTAGCAGTTGAGGACCTCCAAGGCCTCCGGTCCGTCCGTCCTCCAGGGGAAGATCACTGGACGTTCCATCAGGCCTCAGGAACGCGCTGGTTTCATTTCACAGGGCTCAGGTCTTTTGAAATAATAAGTCAAAACAACAAAACCAGGGTGTTGGGAGGTGCTAGTAGGAAATGAGACCTCCCACCACCACCACCCCAGTTTAAAATGTTTTAGAAAAAAGTGCCAACATATATATTTCCTCTAAATTGAACAGATTTTTCGGTGGAACTTAGGGGTAGCAGAACAAAGCCAAAGCTGCCTCCTCATCCATTTGCTCCTCCTCCTCCAAGAATTTTGAAAAACGCGTAGTTAACATCTAAATTCTTTATAGTTTTCATTAGTTGCAAAGTATTAATTTGACATTCTAATTCCATTTTAAAACAGCACACCGCTTTAAAATATATGTCCAAGACTAAATGCAATAGGGATGTAATACCCATTCTGCTGCTTAAAAAGTTATGAACAAGCTCTTCTTTGAAAGTCATTTTTAATGCATTCCCCTTCCCCACAAAATATATTTTTATGCTTGGAAATGTTACCTGTCACACTTATCTTTTTTTGCAGGAGACCCCTCCCCCCACAAAGTCAACGCTCTTTATTCACAGATTCTATTTTTGCAAAATGGCCTACTCAATAAATACGTGTAACCCCAAAATCAATACTTGTGGCACTTTCTCAGTCATTTAAGGCCATGTGCAGCACAGCAAAAACTTAGAATTGCCCTTTGTGCACATTGCCACCTGAACTCGAAAAAGGCCATGCTCTGCCATCTTGTTTTAGGTCGTAATATAAGCAGGTGTCCTTTTTGAAGTCTACTGGTACCACATTTTTCACACTGCTGTGCTTTTCGTTCATGATTTCACTGTTTTCAATGGCCCCCCAAGCGTAGTGCTAAAGCACTGCCTAGCGTTCCTAAGCGCAAGAAGGCGGTCATGTGCCTAACAGAGAAAATTCATGTTAGATAAACTTTGTTCAGGCCTGAGTTACAGTGCTGTTGGCCGTGAACTCAATGTTACGGTACATCAGAAGGAAGAGATTTGCCATCTGTACATGAGGCTGCTCCAGAAAGTGCTACAGTAACAACTGTAGTGCATGATGCAGCTCTGGAAAAGAAGTGTTAAGCAGCTAAATTTGTGGATTCATGAGATGACAACTGATAAAAAACAGCATAGTGGACAGTGTGGTTGTGAGGCTGAAAGCCAAAAAATTTACCGCCGTGTTACCCAGGGTCAGGAAAATGCCAAACCCTTCTCTGCCAGTGCAGGATGGCTTGCACAGTTCAAAAGGTGATACCATGTGAAAAACGTTCAACTTGCAGGCAAGGCAGGTTCTGCAGACCAGAAGGCTGCAGAAGAACTTTAAAAATACCTACTAAGCATTATACATTAAAAGGGCTGTATGGAAGAGCAGGTTTTCAATGCTGATGAGACTAGCTTGTTTTACAAAAATGTTGGCAAACGGACCTATGTAATGCAAATGGCCTCCAAAGCACCTGGCTTTAAATCATTCAAAGACCATGTAACCTTGCTATTATGTCCCAGTGCCAAGGGTGATTTTAAATGTAAACACCCGATGGTACACAGAGTGCAAAAGCCACGCACACTTAGAGGGAAAAACCTGAACCATACGCCAGTCCACTGGAGGTGGAACAAAAAAGCATGAATGGTGCCCAAAATACTCTGGGATTGGTTCCACAACTGCTTCACCCCATAAGTTAAATGTTATCTCCACAGCAAAAATCTTGCCTTCAGGGTTTTATTAATTTTGGATAATGCCCCAGCTCATTGCCATGAAGAACTCGAAAATGCCCACCCCAATACAGAAGTTCTCTTCATGTGCCCAAACACTGCGTCTCTCACCCAACCCCTCGATAAGGGCGTGATGAAGGCTTTCCAGGCACATTGCGCCAGCGAGCTTCACGGCACAGCTTTCCAGGCTCCTGACGCCAACAAGGACACCTGCATGGTGGACTGCTGGAAGTCCATCACCATGCGCTGTGCCATCGAGCACGTCAGCACAGCCTGGGGCAGCATCAAGCAAGCCACTGTCAACAACTGCTGGGGAAATGTTTGGCCGGACTGCGTGAAAAATTCTGAAGGCTTTGAAGGTATACCACAAAACATAAAGAACAGCGTCAAAAGCATAATGCGTAGTGCACAGCAAATAAGTGGGGTAGGTTTCAGCGACATGAAGGAGGGAGACGTGGAGGAGATTCTGGCAGAAACAGCAGAACCCACCAACAAAGTCCTGGACGAGATAGCAGAACATGGCACTGGTGTCCATGAGGACAAGGACGGGGAGGATGGTCAGTCTCAGACCCCAGAATTGTCCCTCTCACGGCAGCCAAGATAGCAGAATGGCATTCTGCCTTGGAGAAAATTTTCACAGACATGAAGAGCGTGACCCTGTGCTTGAACGCAGCCCCACATTTAACACCTCACCTCCACGGCGTTCGTCCCTTATGCCGAGACACTTAAAGATTTGAGGCGCAAAGCCACATGGACAAGGCCGAAGCAGTGTTTCCAGCCAATCTGGGAGCGAGAGCTGCCGACGCCATCACCAGGCTGTGAAAGCCCAAGGCCTGAGGCGGAATGGCTGGATCTCACCTGCCACCCTGACACCTTCCTCCTCTGCCACCTAAGTTCCCCCACTGTCCTGTGGTTTCAGTGACAAATCAAGGTCGAGGTCGAACCTCACCATGAACTGCCCCCACACACTCCATCAGCTCCTCCATAATAAGGTCTTAGTGTTTTCATAAAAGTTTTAATGTTTCAGTTTTGCTTAATGCTCTTCTCAGGGCTTGCTTTCTTGCATCACTGTACCAGATAATATTCAGGAGGTGTCTACTGTGTGCATGTGCGTGAGCACCGTGTGTACAACTGAGCGGAAGATGTGAGCTAGAGCAGCCTGCACACTGCAGCAGACGTTACATCCTGCTCTAATTGAAATACTGTTTTATTATAAAGAAATAGTGCACGTAATTATTTGAAGAAAGATTTAAATAAGGTGTCTTTAAACAGAAATATACCTAAAACAAGACTATGTGTTGACTGGTTGACAAAACATGACCAGAGTGTGGAAGGACACCAACCCTGTGTTTCCCTGAGGGGCAACAGTCCGGGGGCTGCTGATCCCGTGTCCACGGTGCCTTTGTGATGCTTGACTATCATAAATGATGAGGAGCAATGGTACATTTAAGATTATTAAGCCATAAGGATGTAATTGTTATATGACTTCTTCTAAATTGAGTTAAACACAACTATTGAGTGTACAAATGATGAAACAAATCTAGTTTTTGATGAAAATTATTAAATATAAAATGCAAAATTTTATTTGGAAATGTGTATCTTAATGCAATGTATAGGGTTTTTTCTTTAACTAGCTCATTTACCCAGGGACAACTATCACTTATTGCTAGAAAGAGCTACAGTCCAGCATCAGTTGTATTCCCATCTTGGGTTTTTTTTTATGCAAACATTATTCATAAAAATAAGTACATGGAAATGGGAAGTTTTTTATGATGTAAAAACTTGATTGTTTGAAGCCTTCGGAGTTACAGAGCCAAAGTCCAGACACAATCTATCATAAATTTTAAAAAATTGTAATCATTGCTAACAGCTTGGTTAGGGTCTCCTTCAATTCCCGTGAAAACTAATGCATAGAAAGCTGAGCTGCAAAATTCATCAGTAGCGCCATTCACTCGGGAACACCATGGGTGTTTCCACCGATCCCCTGGTAGTACGGCCAGGAGGCCTACCCATCCTGCAGCACTGCACCCCAGAAGACCAGACTGGGTGCCCGGTCTGCCCTTCGACGAGACAGCTGC